GAGTGTGTGTGTGGGGAGGTGGGGACCCATAAAGAAGCCCCAGATGTAGAATGCCTGGCATGATCAAGCCACCCATCAAGACACAGGCTGGCTGTTTCCTTCTCTTCTGTCTCAAATACATGGCCTCTCATTCCCACACATGCAGTGAGAGGACACTTCACTCATCTTTTACAGCAGTCATCACTGCTTATTATTGTGAAGATACAGCTTCACTTCTTCAGAGCAGAACTGGTCTGAGATGACGCATAAAATCCACAGTAGCTTACTAGGAATGAGTTTATGTCTCTTGAGCAAAGGTTTGCAGGAACAACTGGGTACCTAAGTGTAAAAGTGAAAGAAAAAAGAGAAGCAAAGGTAGTGAAATGCAATTATTCTGAAAAGGCAGACTGAGCCTAAAATCATTTTACTCTTAAGACAGAAAAGAATGATCTTGTTGTTTTCTTTAGGTGCTGGGGAAAGAGAAAGCAGTAATAGGAACAAAAAGAGTTAAACCCACGCCTAGCTTAGCTGTTGCTCTATATGTGAATTTTTTAAACGTTTCATTATCATTTTCCCAGTCAAAGAGCAATGCCTTTTATGGCAGTGTACATATTTTTGGTACCAAAGTGACGGATGAGCATAATTTTATCTGCTGACCTGTCCCGCTTCTGGGTACAAGGATTGTCCATTGTTTCAGCCTCCAGTAATCTCCCGTTTGATTTCGCATCTTCCTTCTTCTTCCACAGGTTTCCATTTTATCTCCCTCCCACAAGATAGGGCAAGAATAAAAAAGAGGAAGAAATAAATGGGGCTTGAAAAGACCATACTGTTATTTCTGTACTGTTTGGTCAAATTTAGGAGGCGGGCCCAGTAGAGAAACATGCTTTTCTATATGCTTTGCAAATTCCCCTACTGAATTTGGCAATCACAAATTTCCCTTGAGGGTTTATTTCTGGGAATTCCACTCATATCCACGCATTTGAACAACTGTGTTTTGGTTAAGAATAAAGAAGAGCAGGGATTTTCTATCCGATTAATGTATTAAGCCCTACATTTATTTTAGATGTTCCGGCATCATCTGGAAAGAGAGGGCAGCAACAGATGTATACAGCGCACTCAGAACTAGGAAAAGAATGTAACAAATAGCTAATAAGTTAGCTTCATGCTTCTTCCCTCCTGTTTTCCCTTAATGAAAAGTTACAATTTAGTCAATGTGTCATTTCATTTCTTTGTGCTGTCACAGATGATGAGTGTCAGATACTTGGTAACGTAAGTAACTTTCAGGTATTAACTTTTTCTCGGGCAGGGTCTAACTGCAGTTTGTGGTCCCCACCATGAGTGGTAAAGCATTCCACAAATCCAGGGTGCAGCACATCCGGCCCTTACCGAATGGCTACATTCAATCTTGTTTAGCCTTTACTTAAGGAGCCCCATGAGTCCGAATCAACTCACCAGCACCCAACATGACAACAACAGCCTTTCCTTTGGTATTTATATTTGGTAAGGGAGAGTGTCAGAGAGAAGATGATGAAGACAGAGATCAAGGGAGATGAAGAAACTGAGGCTGACGTCTCCGTGACACTGAGCCAGGAAACTCAGCCCCATGACACATCCCATCGACTCAGCTGCCGGACTGGGTTGTTACAATCTATTGGTTAGGATCCTGCTGGATAACAGAAGACGGGGCTGAACCTCGGCAGAGACGAGGGTTCATGACATTTCTGTCTTTTCTTCCCATGATCACAGGTGAAGCTACTGGAGAGAAAATGGAAGGAGATTTTCTTTGGAAAATGACCCTTTTCAGAAATCTGACAGATCAAATGCCTTTTTCAGGTTAATCCATCCATGGAGTAAATACTTTAATTCCTATTATTCAGTGGGGTCCTGGTAGTGCAGTGGTTAAGCGTTTGGCTGTGAACCAAAAGGTCCGCAGTTCGAATCCATCAGCCACTCCTTGGAAACCCTATGAGGCAGTTCTACTCTGTCTTACAGGGTCGCTATGAGCTGGAATTGACTTGACGGCGATGGGTATGGTATGTGTATTATTTGCTATCTTCTAACTGCTTCCTATTAGTTTGATTACAAACGATCTATGAAATGTCACGAGGCCCTAAAATAGAACTCCTTCCTTTTACAAAAGGGAATAAAATCATAGGCTGATGAAAAAAGATGAAACCATTGTTTTTCACTGCAATCCAAGAGGTAAAACGGAAAAAACATAAAACCTCATTGAGTTTTTCCAAACAGAGGATAAGAAATAAATAGATGTGTGTGAGGATTTTGCTTGGCAGTTACAGTAGTCCCCCCCTTATCCGAGAGGGATATGTTCCAAGAGCTCCCGTGGATGCATAAAGCCTTGGATAGTCCGGAACCCCATGTATATTCTGATTTGTCCTATACACACGCACCTATGATGAAGTGTAATTTATAAATTAGCCACAGTAACACAGTGACAACAATAACTACTAATAAAATAGGGCAACTATAACAATGTACTGTAATAAAAGTTATGTGAACAACAGAGCCGAGTGTGAGATTTCATTATGCTATGCACTCGTTGAACATTTCTGAACCGCGGTTGACCTCCGTAACTGAAACCAAGGAAAGTGAAACCGTGGGTAAGGGGGGAGGGGTAGCCTACTGGACCTGCAGTCATTAATTAGCAATAACTTAGATGCCATTCTAAATTATTTGCAGATGTCATTCAATAGCATTCCTCTATCCTCAAAGGCTGTGATAACAGACAGGGAGGGAAGAAACCTCATACCAAACCAAAAGCATTGATGGCCGCAGAGAGTGGGCTCTAACCTTTTCTGAAATTACGTCTGCGTTGTTCAAATTGTCACAGCAAATACGTATTTTGCACGTAAAACAGAAGTCAATCAAATAGTATAAGCCATAAGAAAGTTTTTTAAAAAGTTAATATATATATGTTTTTATATGTCATCACATATTATTTCACACCTAGTAACTGGTAGGTTGGAATACAATCTTAAATCCATTCAGTGATGCTCTAGAGGTATATTTGAACACATAAAGGGTTGAGGAAAAAACGTGTTAAAACCGGGTACAGGCGACTGTTGCTTCTCAGCTGGCCGGTTTCGTGTTTAGGTGCTCTGCTCTGCCTTGCCCGAAAGGTTCTCAGAAGGGGAGTGGCCCCTTTATGTGGATCTTAAACACTAAAGTCCATTTCTTCCTGCATCTTCTTTTATATGGAAAAATATGACATACAAACAAATCATGATGTCATTCTTCAAGCCTGTGCTGAAGCTCCTCCCCCTCTTAATAGCCATCAGATGGGTTTGTCTGTCTTTTGTAGGCATGCCCCCACCCCACCACAGACACCACCATCGCTGTGAAGCAGAGCTGAAGGCTGAGGAGCTGTTGAAACTCCTGCGATAAGAAGGGCTGTAAATGCCTGTTAACGGCTCCTAGCGTTTGCTCTCTTGTGATTTACACCCAATTTATGACGGCCATTACGGTAGATACACCTCACTTAATCAGGAGCACAGTCCAGTCCTAGTCATTAAACCCACCCGCCCTTCCTTCCCCAGGAGAGTGGGTCCCTTGTTTCATTAAAGGCACTGCAAATACATATTCAAAATGCAGAGAAGAAAGAAGTCAGCAGGGGCAATTAATTTTACGGGCAAGTGATAAAGGAGTGTAAATCTCTTTTAAGGCTGCCACTTCTGAGCTCCTTTTTACCTGGGCAGCCTTCCAATGGCGCTAAAGCATAGGTATGAAACGTCCAATGGGCATCTGTCACCATACTGTACACGAACGTACAAGCCCTACTGTCAGAGAAAAGAGCTGGGGCTGGAACACCAATGTAGCGCAGGGGAGTAACAGACAGATTTTTCAGATGGCAACCTAAGATTGGCCGGAAATCGATTTTTTGTAAAATTGTCTCCCCACCTGTGAATTTAAGGAGTTGTTCTTTGGGCTATGTTATTTGTTTCATCTTAATAAAGCTCATGAAGTCACTTCAGAAACACTAAAGTGATAAACAAATGTAAGATACTATTCTAATTTGAATCTCCTAAAAAGTCTACCGTTTCGAACCAATGAGCTGATACCAAAGAGAAGACAGTAGGTTATTCTGGACCAGGGAAACAAAGAATGACTCCTATCCTAAAGAAATCCTTCCTGCCCCAAATCAAAAACATCCAGACAGCATGGGAAAATATTTGGGGCTTTCCTAGATCTGGGAGAATTCATTGCCATGGAAATGTGACCTCGCGGGGTGTGTATACATTCTATATGACTCTTAGATTTCCACTGAACTCCATCAGGGCAGTAATTCAAGGTCTGTGATAGGACCTTTTGAGTTAATTTATTCCTGTCTCTCTCTGACATTGTACTGGCCCCATTCATAACAACTCTCTGCTGTGTGGTGCCAACAGAAACAGCTCATGCAAGGTTTATCATCCTAAGTAACGGGAATCAAATATGAAGGTCGTATTCATGGAAGTATGCAGTTCCATGGAATTCCAAAGCCAAGGAGGTTCTGTTGGGAAGGAGGCTCTTCTCCACGAGCCTGGATATCTATCTCCTGTTTCATTCTCCTCCCCAGATTCTGTACGCTGGATTTCCATCCTCCGTAATTAGTTTCCCCACGCGTATCTGTATCAGATCGCTCTCCTGACGCTTACTTTTAAGACCATTGGAAATTCTCTAGACTCTAAGTGGGTCCCTTTCCCATCACCTTTGGGGAGTGGCCACATCCTGGCTATCCATTGCAATGTCCCTCCACGCACAGACTTCTCCACAGCCATAACTGGCTACAGCTTTTAATGAAGGGCAGATTTAACCAAGCTTCTCATCTGCCTTCTTTACTTTTAGATATCGCTTATATTTTTGAAGAACCCGACTGGCAGCAACATCACATCAGCCAAGAACCACTTGCCCACAGTTGGGGCAACTTGCCACATTGTGGAGTCCAGGCAAAAAGTGTTCTCTGACCAGAGAGGACATTTAGCAGGGGTGTGGAAAGTATTATAAGACCATGCAAAAATACTCACAGTTTTGGTTTGGCAAGCAGAGGTGGTGGCTCCTTAGTGGGTGACAGCAGGACAGCTGGTGTTGGAAGAGATTTATTACCGCTAGCTTTGCCGTTAATCAGTCCATTTACTCCATGGCTGAGATGGACTCCGTTAGTTTCCCTCTCCGCAGAGTTGAACTGCATTTGAAGTCCTAACTCAGGGCTTTTCACCTGTTGGATCTCAGATGGTTTCTTTGAAGCCAACTCAAAGGAACTCGTCTCCAAGATTGGAGGGGGAGGTGGAAAGTGCTGGAAGTGATCATTGTTGGATTCTCCCATTGAGTCATAGCTACAGTTCTCAGTGTTGGCTAAGAAAGGGGAAAAGGAAGGAAAAATAATAAGATGCTACTAGTTCAACGAGTACTTTTCACACTGTAATAGATCTTCTGAAAACCCCTCGTGCCCTGTTAAGTTGCTAAAGAAGAGGTGGCTACATGGCTCTCATTTGACGCCAAAGCAAAGCCAGCTGGAATGCTTGGTTCTTCCCAACTTGTTTTGAGTGACAGCTAACTGTTTTGTTTCCTGACTGGGCACACTTATGGGGAAGCCAGCTTCTGCTTCACTGACAAATTTCAGACAAGAGCTAGAGATAAAACTTCATAAAAGAAAAAAAAAAAAAAAGAGAACACAGACTATATCAACTACTAATGCTTTGCCATCTCACATGTTAGTCCATGTAGCCAACTGAAAATTCTATCCTACCTGCACCTTACTGATCTTGGCTCAAGCTATAAAGGTTTTGGGGGCAGGCAGTGGATATTCATTCTGTTTGAAAGCTAAGGAAGGTAAATCTCTGAATCTAAGTGGAGTGTCTCGTGATCTCATAGAACACTTTTCTCCCCCATGTCAGATGATGGCGACCACTGTGATTCAGTGCAAAAGAGAATTTTTACTTGTTGCCCTCAGCAGACTGAAATTATCCTGAGATCAGGTCTTCCTCATCTTGCCTGGGGTCGAGCAGAGTCCTTGGCATGCACTCAAAAATGCTTATTGCAGAAAACGGAAAGCTCCAAAATATTTATTATGTTTGGCCAGTAGCCGAGTTACCCCAGATGAGAGAGAGGAAATGAGAAATATTGTGCACCAGCTTTTGCCAACAGACTCCTGGCCGTATTGTTTGAGCAGGTGCACAACGGCTATGGCCATTCGATGGGACAGTCTTCAAGCCAGCTCAGTCAAGATGTTGGCATCTTCCCCCTCTGCAGCTCCAGTCAACACACCGGGATTTCCTTTGAACACCGCAAGTACTCATTACCATCAATCGTTTCCCCATTAAGGGAGGGAAAACATTGACAATTCCCCCTTTGAAGTCCCTAAACTAGTTTTGCTGTGCCTCTGCTGCCACCTTGCACCAGAATCTCTCTCTTCGAAAGGAACCCTAAGTAAGTTTGATTGAGCTCTCCAAATCCATCTCATAAAACCAACGCCTCATGTACTGACTCCCTCCTATGTCTACTATGTGTCATGCTGGGTCAGGAGAGATTTGCAAAATCACCGTGATGTGAATAAGAGAGATAAGGCCATTGAAGTAAACTGAAGTCACAGTAGAAAATAGTTACCTACAGTTAAAAAAAATAATTACAAAGGTAAGTGCTGTTTTTTGTTGCCTTCCCTAGTGGTAGGAGCCCTGGTGGCATAGTGGTTAAGAGCTCGGCTGCTAACCAGAAAGTCGGCAGTTCGAATCCACCAGCGGCTCCTTGGAAATCTTTTGGGGGTTAAGTTTCTGAGCTTAAAAAGTACCCAGGTATTTTTGAATATTGGTTTCCATAGTATGATATATTAGTTTATTTCTTCATATCAGAGTGATATTCGATCATCAATGAAACATAATTTCTAAGCTCTTTCCAGCTTCTCCAATTACACTAGGTTTATCATAGATTACTTTTCCCGAAGCTGCAATAGTGGATTAAACAGTGATTTATTTGGACAAGCATTTTGGGGTCTTGTGAATTGGTGTTCCTCCGACTCACAGGTGGCTTTCTGACATCAACATGATTCTGTGTGAACGTGAGGATGTTAGGAAACAGCTCCGTTGTCTCCACGACCAAGATTGCGCGATTTAAAAAATAGCCACATGTGTAATCCGTGGCTACTTCCTCAGCGTCTTTTTCTGTTCCCCTTCTCCACTTCCAGTCCCTCTCAGCCCCCTTCCTTGAAGGCTTTTGTTTCATGATGAAACACAGATTGTTAGGGTAAGTCCTGGGGCAGCAGCAGACGTCCCTACAGAATGAGCACACTCTTGGGACAGTTCCTTTCTGCTGTGGCAAACCACACCAGTGCTGGGGCACAAACCTGTGTCACTCTCACTCTTCACATACCTGAGGTGACAACCAACTGGGCAGTGCTGGTTACTGAGCCATAATCATTCCTTGCAGAGCATGTAAAGATCCCTGCATCTTCAGGGAAAGTCTCAGCAATAACGAGGGTACAGATCTCCTCTGGAAGGGAAGAGAAAAGAATAATTCATCACAGCGAAGTCACAAAGTCACTTGGAAGAAAGTAAGACCCTCTGCCCTTCTAAAATGGGCAAATTAGGTGACGACTCTTACAGAATTGCTTTACAAAAGTGTTCACAATAGACTCTCTTTACATTTAATTTAGCAGTTCAGCCTAGTGGGAAGAGCTTTGGAGTCAGACCCATTCTTTGAGATTTTTGGACAAGCTCAGCCTCAGTTTCCCCATCTGTAATATGGGGATAATATCTACCTAATGGGACAATTGATGTCACTTATCATGATGTTGCTTAAAGCGGCATCGTGATAAACAGAGAAAAGACTGAAGTTGTCAAGGATTTCATTTTACTTGGATCCACAATCAACACCCATGGAAGAGGCAGTCAAGAAACCAAATGACACATTGCATTGGGCAAATCTGCTGCAAAAGACCTCTTTAAAGCGTTCAAAAGCAAAGATGGCACTTTAAGGACTAAGGTGCCCCGACCCAAGCCATGGTGTTTTCAATCACCTCATACGCATGCAAAAGCTGGACAATGAATAAGGAAAACTGAAGAAGAATTAATGTCTTTGAATTATGGTGTTGGCAAAGACTTCCAAAAGAACGAACAAATCTGTCCTGGAAGAAGTATACCCAGAATGCTCCTTAGAAGCCAGGATGGCGAGACTGCCTCTCACATACTTTGGACATGTCATCAGGAGGGACCAGGGCCTGGAGAAGGACATCATGCTTGGTAAAGTAGAGGGTCAGCAAAAAAGAGGAAGACCCTCAACAAGATGGACTGACACAGTGGCTGCAACAATGG